CTTGAAAAATGCATTTTCCAAATACTTATTAAGTATTGAATTTCACTAAACTTGGAACATAATTTTTTTTCATTAGAGATGCTCGGGGAAACCTAAGAAAGGTCTCTAAAATCATTCAACTTGAGGATGAAGCAAGCAGCTTTGCTTGTTGACACAAGCATGCAAGAGGTAAAGTGACAAAGAGAAAGAACACAACAGCCCCAGCTGTCAGACCTATGGACAGTGTACAGCACCAGAAAGGTCACTAACACACTGTAAAACCATTGCAGCATTTCCAGTCTTGTCCTACAGAAGCTTTTGCAGAAAAACCTTTGCCTTCAGGGCCAGCAGATCCTTCAACAGCCTCCCAAATGATGCTGGGACTCATTTACTGCCATGTACGTTTTTCCCTCCCTCCCCTCTCCATCCGTCCACAGAAAAAGTCTGGAAAAAACAAATCTCAAGCCACACTTTCTGTGCAATCAGGATAAGAAAGCGTTTCAACCCCAATGTTTACTTTACATGTGTTCACTTGACATGTGAACGTCTCCTGCAGTACGCAAGTGTCTCATGCCAGCAGGCCACATTCCCTGGGGGCAGTTTAGTTGTGGATAGTGGGTACAGCCCCTTTCTATGACTGGGAGGAGGCAACACCCTCTGCTACTGTGGCATTGCTGTGGAAAGATCCAGGGAACATACAGGCTTGGGCCAGTTTTCACAGTAGGCTGGTGCCTGGAGCTTTTGATACTGGGACACCTACAGTAGAGCTCAAATCATGTATGAATTGTTTGGTTTTGGTTTAGCCCTGTTGTGAATGTAACAAAACCAGTGCAACGTCAGCCATCTCTACTCCAGAAAAGCGTTTGCAGTATTAGAAAGGTGCCAACCAGCCCTTCCCAGGGCTCCAGCAATAATAACTGGGAAGGCGGGCTCAGGGGGAGCTAACATGACAATCTGTACAATACATGTTTAATTCAAGGCCAATAATCCCTCACTTCCATAAGTAAAATGTTGACTTAAAACTTTTAAAGTCACCTGACTAAAACAAAAGAAGAAAAAAAATGTTGTGCGGCTCAGTAGTCATCAGCTATAATTCTGTATTTCAAGGTAATTAAAACATGAACAGCCTTTTACTATTTACCGCAACCCACACTTAAAACTTTGCCTTAAAACACTGAGAGCAGAATTTCATCCACCCCTTTTAAAATAAGGAGCAATTCTTCCAAATTCCCTTCCATGCTCTTCATTTGATGGCAAAGTAACAGAGGTACCATAGTTCATTTGATATCATTCTTTTCCAGCTAATGTTTTATTCAGATTGAGCTTCATTAATAAAGATGAAACTTTGGACTCATGATTGCTCCATGTTTACAAAACATCCAGGCTCCTTTACATTTTGGTTAAGCATGAACAATCACTGAACATACAATTTCCTAAAAAAATCCCACATACCAAAATTGCATATTTTGAATTTTTAAAATTCACTAAACAAAGTTTCACAGAGTGAATCTTAAATTCTGTTTGCCAGGAAAGCACAAGCCGAAAATGGAAGTTCGGACCCTCCAGGAAAAAAATTAAGCTGGACCCCAGCACACACATCCTTCCCATTAAACAAGCAAATAAATACACATTCATACAGTGTAATTTGCTCTAAAAATGCAGGTGCCTGGGTCATTACCCGCAAGTTTTAGCACAGATTCTGGTTGCTCAAACAGTACTGTGTCACAGTTAAGTCTTCTTCTCTTTTTTGGTGGAACTGGGCGGTGATTTCTTACTGGACACCAGAGAACAAAAACTAGCCCAGAACCTGATGATTTTGACACAAGTTCCAATGTGCTTCTCCACAGAGAAAAATTACAAAAAGCAAGGCTGTTTAAAAAAAATAAATAAATAAAAAGAAAAAAAATGTTAGAGGTGTATATAGCAGTTTCACTTTTTAATGCCAGATATTGGACCAAGGAATGGGACCAACTGCACTGCATTTTTAAAGTAGTATGACTATCGACATACTTGAGAAACATTTTAACACTGTACATTACAACAAACTTATTTAGTTCACTTCTACACAAGTCAGCAAAAAAGCTAGGTGATCCAACATGATATGGCAGCTGCAAATTCAAAATGATAGTCACAGTCTAAAGCCAGAACAAGAACATCTCCAGAACTTCTATTTATAAAAAGGAATGAACGTACACACCATGTGTGCGCACACAGGCAAAAATCTTGAGGTTTCACTTACTGCTCTTACGCAAGGCTGTGAACAGGCAAATGTCTGGATCAGAAATTAGGTCAAACATGCACTTCAGCAGGCACAAAAAGTACAGGAAATTGATATTAACGAAACAATGCACAGTGTTATGTAATACCGGATGGTATTCTGCTAATCACAATGATGTAATCTACTTACATCATTAATACCAGATAAACTCCAGGTCTGCCTGTTGCATAATATGTTATGCAGTGTGGTATTTTAACCTAATTTCTGATTTCTCTTTCCTACTGCACCTCCATGTAGTGATGAGGGCAGTTTTCAAGACAGCTGTTCTTTGCAACGCCAGAGAAACCTCGGCCTCAAGAGCTTCACTCGGGCAGGTATGGCCGGAAGGAAGTTAACTTTATCAGCACTGGATCTCCAGGACCTGCTCTTTGACAGCCTCGTGATTTTATGCAGTCACTGATAAGCTGGATAAACTAATGCAGACACCGGTGCAAAATGCATCAGTGCTGTTCTTGGGAGCATCTTCTGGCTATGCTACACGCTTCTGGTACACCTAGCAATTGCTACAGGGGATAAGGCAGTACAGGGTTGAATCCTGTACCTGGTCACATCCTCAAGAGTCTGACAAAGGCAAGTTTTTTTTGTGAACTGGCTTTCCTTTACCTAATAAGCAGCATGGCGTAGATGTCAGTAGAAATCTGGCTACCTACTGGCAACAAGAGACAAGCACATTCACAAGACACAATTTGGAATACCTGCTGTTCCCTACTGCAACCAAATTAAACATGCTGCGGAGAGGTGTCCATGTAATTACGATACTTGTAAGCCAGGTTCAAGGCATACTGCACATGGGCCTTGCATGGAAAAGGCATTGAATATGTTATCTGAGGATTTCTTTTTTGCTGTGCTATGCATACCTATGACAGTAGATAAAAATCGGCACAATGGTTCCCTTCCATACATGACCCAACACATACCATAACAATTAAGCACCGTAAATGCTATTCTTCAGTTAATAGGAATCAAGGAAGAAAATGGTGGTTTGGAAACAGGGAGGGGAAGAAATCAAGCGCAAAGTTAGAGGTGTGTTCCTGACAGAAGTCCTAGCTGAGAATGTTTATTATGAATCAGAGACTGGATTTTGTGACATGACCAGAAAATCACCGATGTCTACAGGGCCAGCTTGGGCACTGCAGTCAAAATTATGTTCTCTGGTGTTATAATATGGCATTGAGCAATCCCTAATTATTAGAAAGAGCAGCAGGTGGATGGCAAGAGATCGCACTTCAGGGAGGTCACGCTTTGTACTTGCAAAAAGCAGCAGGGCAAATCAGTAATTTTTCTGTCTTATTAAAGATCTGTCATGTGCCCCTTGATCCAGTCCCCAAATCTGACACAAATTTCAGCTTTCAGACTTGCCAAATACCCAAATTCACCCTGACTTCTATTTCACTTAAAAGCAGTACTACTAAGCTAATGGGACTGCTTAGAGCAAGGTGCAGTGAAGGTTCAGGAATTTGGCTCTTGCCAAGAAGTGAACTGCAAATGACTGGGGTTTCATGACGCTCACAGGTGAAGGGAGACAACTCCTGTGGTTTGTTTTTTTTCAAATCTGTCCTTATGAGCACTGACATTTATAAGACTGAAATGTGTGAAAAGGCACCATTATGCTCACCCAGACATTTTGACACCAGGACAACCACAGTGGTTTAAGGGGGTAACCCACCCAGTAGAGGATTAGGCTGGCCTGGGTCCTCCTCCCAGCTATGTCACTGCCCCTTTCTAGATGACTGCATATAAGGGTCCTTGGTCTCAGTTGGGATGGTGAGGCTTCCTTAGAGCAATTCCCGTGTCATACCACCCATGGGTGCACAGTTGCATTTCTAGGAAAGAAGGAGGCAAAATAGGTCTAAATTCTTTAAAACCAATTAAGAAAACCCAACCTCCAGGAAAACAAAAGCAATTTGCTATCACATCCTTGCAGGAGGAGTCCTAAGACTTCTCATGACCCATTTCTTCACTAATGGCTATGAAGGCCAGGTTGTCAGGAGGCTTTCCTGCCAGATTGGAGGTAAAACAGTATGTCCCATGTGTACCATTCAAAGCCACTCTTCACATGAAGCTGTTAGACAGAAGTGTTTTGGCTGCATTTTTAGGTATTCCTCCTAGCCCACTTTGCTTCCCTGCTTGGGAGCACCTTCAAATAAAAGATGCTGGAAGTGCCATTTCCCTGTAGTTGAAAAAAATGGGGGAAAACAGAGGCGCAAAACACAGAGACCACAGAATGAAACAATTGCTTGTCAAATGTTTCCTTTTAAAAACTATTGTACAACTCCCTAACTTGGTTTAATTAATGTGCAGTTTAAAACATATAAAATGCCTTACCAGCTAAATGATTTCTTGGTTTTACAAGTCTGTCTCCCTCCCCCCATTAAAAAATAACGCATGTGTGGACTGGTATTGACCACCTTGTACAGAGCTGCACGCCAATTCTCCTTTAATTCTACATGGAGCAGTTTTGATTTTAATCTACTACATTTAGAGAAGAGCTCATACTGTATACTTTACAGTATAACCAGCTACATAAGTGTCTTTAATCTCGTAACACAATAAAAAAATCACTGTAAGTTGCAGTCCCTTTGATAAATTATTATGGTGACACATGCAGTCCTCAGTGCCGCTGCCACCAGACACAGGACGTGATTTTCTTTGCACGCTGCCGAGAGGCCCGACACTGCACCAGTGGGGGCCAGCCGGTGCACCACTCCCCCAGGCACAGAGTTCTGCAGTCACTGGGCAAAGCTGCGGTGAATTGTCTCACTCGGTACCACCACCACCACCACCCCGACCCAACCCCCGGGGAAGCACACCTCCCTCCCCGCTTCAGCCGCAGGAGATCACCGTGAAACGCTTGGAAATGCATGACATGTTGTGGAGAACAATGCCCAGGAGAAAGACCAGGACACAGGCCACCAGGATCACAGTGCAAACCCCCGACCAGGTGGAGCTTTTCACAACGCCTCTGCGGTCCGGTTCCTCTGCTCCCCCCTCAGCCGGAAGGCCGCCCTGCAGCGGCTGCTGCTCCGCTGGGATTGTCACCACCGCCAGGGACTTCTGCTGGCCACCGGGCAGAAGGCGGCAGCCAATGTCTCCTGGCAGTAGTGCCCTCTCCTTGGAGAGGGGCAAGGGCAGCATGTAGCACCCATTGCTGGGGAGTCTGATGAAAACGGGGGTGTGCTCCGAGGTGTGGGGGATTGCAATGACGGCGATCACCTCAGGGTCATCAGGCAGCTGCGACACAGAGTACCCCGGCGGCAGCTTGGTGATCCCGCGGCACCAGGGGCAACGCAGGTCCTTCTGGCTGGTCCTCATCTGCTGCAGGCACACTGAGCAGCAGGTGTGCTTGCAGTCCAGCAGCTTCGGCCGCCGCCGGGGGCTGTAGTAGTTGAAGCAAATCTGGCACTCCAGCAGAGAGTCCTGGGACAGGGTCTCCATGGCAGCCGGTGCAGGGAGGCACGGCAGGCCTCGTGATGAGCCTCGCCCTCGCGCCCCACAGCCGAGGGGCAGCACCCACCTTCCCACCACTGCTTTTCCTCAGGGCAGCACCCACCTTCCCGCTGCTGCTTCTCCTCAGGTCAGCGCCTGGCGGGGGCTATGGAGAGCACAGGAAAACCTCCAGCCTGAACCTTTCAGTACCTGAAACAAACAGAAAAATGTGAAGGAACAGGTTGGTCAGAAGACCCAGTGGGAACAAAACAGTCCAGCGAAGGGGGAATGAAAACTAGCGCCGACCTTGTAATCTGGCAAGAGAAACAAATTTGCAACCCTTAACAAGAAAGCATCTTCCCACTGGCTTCGCCGAACTGCCCAGCAGCAAACCTTCAGGTCAGCCATCACTAGATTTTGCAGCTATAAAATCCCTACCAACCTGTCAGGCCACCACTCACAGTTACACCCGTAACAGTTCACTTAGCAGGTCCTCCAGCATCTACCTCCCATCATATTTTCAGGACTTTTCAGCCCTTCCTGCACCTTAACAATTTTTCTCCTTTAATCCTTTAAACCCCTGAGGATTTTTAGCTATTTGGCTCAACCACTAAGTCTGCATGAAAGGTGAGGGAAAGAAAAAAATATTTGAATGGATGCATTTCCACAGGCTCCTGAACTTATGCCTGTGCATGAATGAGCAACCAAATAACTATACTGAAACACCCACACTTGTGCACAACAAAAAGGAACAGCATCGTTTTCAGTCAAATTAACTGTTTGCCTGGTTACACAAGCAGCTTGTTGAACATGGCCCTCTGAAACATAAACCTTCTCACGGATGAAAACTTCACAAGAGACAGATGAAAACTTCACAAGAGACGAAAGGCTCTGTTTAGACCTAGGACAGCCAAACACCATGGAGAACAATCTGTTAATGCACTGAATTAAAGGCAAATGTTTACTAACCTTGTTCTAAACTGTTCATTATAAAGGAATTCTTTGAATTTTCACACTTATTTCTTATAGCTATGCAAAATCACGCAGCTTGTTTATTTTCACAATGAGTTGTTTAGCTTTGTTTGAATTTGGTCACTCCGACACATGATAAATGTGACAGGGGTCACATTTTCACAACTTTTTACATTGTCTTCCTTGCTGTATTTAAAGAAGTATCAGACTGAATTTGCATCCATATAATGCAATAAAGAAAACCCAAAATATTTGCATAGTGACCTTTGATCTTCTCTTATTGCAATGTTACCCCCAAAATAGAGTTAACGCCTGAGGACCACAGCTGTCGGAAGACTTCTTCCTCTCCATACAATTATTTCTCACTCTTCCCCCGGGACATTAACAACTAAGTTGCAACATGCTAATTGATTTGATTGGTGACACAAGTAAAACAGAAATAACATAGTTCAAGACGAGAAGGCAGGCATAGACATGGGGTTTGCAATGCAGGACAGACCTCTAGACTGCACCGTCCCATATCCTGCTTCTGGCAGTTACCAGTATTTGAACAGGGAAAAGAAAATACAGTCATCTCTTCAGATGCTAACGACTGATATCACCGACACTGGCAGAACTTGCCCTGCTGCTGATTTTGTAACAGCAGTGGATTTTGGCTCACAAGGCGCTTCAACAAACACACAGTGACAATCCTGATTCAGGAGGGAGCAGGGCCTGCAGTTATGAAGGCAGGAGCTTGTGAAACGCGGGCAACTGCTGCAGGGGGAAATGGCACGTGCCAGCCACCCAAACAGCACTTTCGAGGTGCTTTGCCTGAACACGGCACAGAGGCCACCACTGGGAGAGACCCCCGCCAGCATGAAGCCAGCACGGGGTCCGTGTGGCGCCTCCCCTACACTGGCAGCATATTACACATGGCACAGATACTTCATGTGCAGAGGGAGCCTAACACTGCTGCAGAAGGGGCTATGCATTCACCACCCGCATGCAGGCTGCACTGAGGGAAAGTGGAAGAAAAAGAGTAGCGGCTTTATCTTCTTTATCCTCTCCTTCCCGTTACTGTCACCATATCCCTACAGTACACGTAGGCACAAACGAAGACTGTCAGAAAAGGTCGTTAAAAGACTAGCATGCAACTGAGAGAGAAAAATGGGAAAGAGCTATCCACATGCTAGGCAATTCCAGGCTGAAAAACATTAAGAGACAAAGGCCAGATTAGAAATCAGTTATTGGAACTCAGGAAGGAATCACTGAAGCCATCAGATCCACAAGCAACCCAGCAGTTTTATATTTTGCACAGAAGTATCCATACAAAATCTTCACAGTTATGCACTGCCCAAGTCAAACTTGATCTTAGACATTGCAAGACACAACTCTGTTCTGCTGTATCTGCAAATCTATGAAAAAAAACAGGTATAACAATATTGCAGTGTTATTATGAGAAAAAGCCCCAATGCCTGGAAATTCAGAACGTAAGGCTTATGTTTAAAAACAGAGTGGAAGTACACCTTCTGCAGATGTAAATCAGTACCTCTGCATAGAAGCTCTGCCCTCCATATTTTGGATGTCAATGAACTGACCAGTGAAGTTCTCTGACCTCATTTAGCTCTCACCTACAACCATCTCTCTCCACTTGCAGTGCTAAAGCTAAACCAGTTTCTATTGATATGAATGTGATTTGGACCATTTTTCTGACTGCATATCCCTGTCCAGGAGTCATATACTCATGCACTATTGAGCCCCTCATCCCTATGCCAGTGACATCCTTACAGCAGAAGATCAGTGCTAGGAGAAAACGAGATGAGGTATTTGGAACTGAAGAATAAAACAAGTCAACTCTAGGCAAACAACGCTCTAAAGAAAAAAGAAGAAAATCCATCCCAACAAGAAGATCTCGGCTGGTTTGAATACTAAGTAATGCTGTGAAGCATTTCTCCAGGAGGTCAAAGTTTTAAAGCATTAGTGCAGTCTATAGGAAGAAAAAGGAAAATAATGGAGCCAAATGAAAAGGTTAAGATAGTGCTTACCACCTACATCACATACATTTCTCAGATATGTGCAGATATATTTGCAGAAGCTGTAAATATAGTGACAACCCCATTTTGACCTGGTGTGAATCAAGGAAATAGTCACTTCCAACTGTACGTCTTAAAGTTACACTTTTTTCCTTTTTTTTTTTCCCCACGAAAGAACTATAAACATTATTTCAAGTAAGAAGGTTGCATTGTGCATATACCAAATTATGACACTTCTTACTTTCCCAAAATGTCTCAAATAATGATCTGCATTTTGACAGATCAGTGGTAACAACTAGTAAGCAGAGACGTTAGTATGATTCCTGCAGAATATATCTAAAGACAAGTTAAAGAGTAGCCACAGCCATCTAACCCATTGGTCTCTAATGACACTGCTTGTTCAAAGGTTGGGCATGTAGTTTCATTGATGCAATGTAACTTTATTCCCAACCATACTGAAAGCCCCACAACCCTCCTGGACTCTGCCACAGCTCTGTCTGGGGATTAAAGAAAGTCAAGCCATCATGTACAGTCAGAATTAAACAGCATAATATCTATTTGACTCATTTTGCAGTACATAGTTAGGAAGGAAAAAGCCATGGGAGATTTCTCAGTACTCTTCTACCACTTCACTTTACTAACTATGCCAAGATTGAATACTGCATCAGTCCTCCTGGACAGGGGACTGAACTCTCTAGTTTGTGCTTAACACAGCCCCATACCAGTTGGAAGCACGGAGCTACCACAGGTGAACACCCCGCTCAAAGCTTACTCAGACTGGATGCTTCTCGGCACTATGAGCCCAAAGACCAAGAGGCAGACAGGCTGCACATGAGGGCACGGCTGACATCAAGCATCAGTCAAAAACATCGGTTTGCCATTATTTGCTATCATCGCCCCGTGATGCCCAAGGGGGGCAAGGGGACTGTTGACAGGAAAACGAGGGAAAAAAATCATAAAAGACTGTGAGGGATATCTGTAGGTTTCCGCAAGACAGACAGCATATATATATGTATGTGTGGATAGGGGCATGCACGTGGAAGGGAGGGCTGGGGACTATGATAGTGAAACCATACACACAGAGGCAACTGCAACTGGAAGTATGTGACTCTGCCTGCCATAAATCTGACAGCAACTGGAAGCTCTTCAGGGCTTGAGATTTAACTAGTAACACAAACAAAAACTAACTGGGTATGACTACCCACAAGTTCCAAAACTCAAGTGTCAGAAAGGTGCAGCAGTGGCAAAGGAAGTGAGAACAGACAGGCCTTGCAAAGAAGCATCAGGACACCTCCCTGCCTCCCCCACACCCTCTCCCCGTTGCTGTGGGTCTGCCCAACATCCATAGGGCTGCTGCTGGCCAGTGAGACAAGATCTTCGCAAGTGGTTACAGACCCAGGGAGGAACCTGCAAAGCTGATGACCCCTGCAGCAGAAGATCAAAGTACAGCTGGGTGGCTGACAGCAAGGCACAAAGGTCCTCCTTGCAGATCTGGGCTGCCCTCATCACAAGACAAGAGTTTTTAAGATTTGAGAAATGATCCTGTGACTCAGCAATAAAGGTCTGGAGAATAAAACAGGTACTTCAGCTGTTTGTCAGTTATGCTATCTGTTCTGCCGGAACCTTGTTGGAGGTCACAGCAGAGCCCCAAGCTCTCTTTTTTTTTGGGTGAGCAGGCGGACAGCAATGCCAAGGCATCAGCTTCCTACTCGCCAAGAAGAAGGTGGAAGGGGCATTTGTTGCTCTCTTGCAATTTGTAACTTCCCAGGACAACGTAGGGAGGTGCTGCAGGAGGTGAACAGGTTGTCCTAGGTTACAGTGTAAGATGTG